AATAAGCCATTGTGGCCATGATTTTCTGAATATGTCTTTAGTTTTTGTGTGATTTATTTGAATGCATTCATCTACAGGCATTCGTTCCCTTGCATGGCGATCATTCCCAACTTTATTTCCACCAACTAAACTAAATTAAACCTCCTATACTGGTACCAACTATCATATCGTAAACATCTGTGGGATGAATGGGATCTTCAACTGCTTCCATATCCTTGATCACACGTTTTCGAACGGTACGATCTTTTAAGAAATTCACTACGCTTTCACCATTCTCTTTGTTTGTAAGGTAGTTTTGCGTCTCGGGATTTCTCAAAACAATTGTCGCAAGTCATAAAACGTCGTACAGAATTTTTAGTTCCATCACACCTCGACTTCCTCCACCATCAAAAGACAATATGTTGGTTTTCTTTTCTGCTGAATCCCTTTTGAGGTTTCAAATCTGTATAAAAAGTTATTATGCAGAATATTCCAGTTATTTTAAAAACTTTTCACCAGTCTTTAATTTTTAAATAGACACTGCTAATAAACTATTGGTAAGATATTGCTAATAAACTATTAGATGCCTATGTTGAACGGTTTGTTAGTCAGTTTATTAGACATCAGATACCAAACTATCAATAGTTGTATTTCGAACAAATGTTCTTCGTGGTATAAGTAAAATTTGTGTACATTAGACACACCTATGTTTCTACTGGACTGAAGAGTTTGTTTATGTGCCTTATTCAGTTTTGTTGCATACGTAAAGTAATTTTCGGTTGACACGAAACTAGGTGTTTTGTCTAAACTTTATTTGTCGAATGACCTTTGCTGTGTTTGGAAAAAATTCGGTGTTTTGAAAGGCAATTGCCTTCCTCTCCTCAAAATAGGCAAACGGTCGCAATCAATGCAATGCATTGAAATTCCATGAAAAACCATGCTGAGAGCTTGTTTTAAAAATATCTAATTTAATATCAACTTTTTGCGTTTATTTTTTATTTCTCTTTTGGCTAATTTTTAAATCTTGATCTAATAACGGCTACAGCTTTAGCTTTCCTTACACAGTATAAAGTCAACGTACGCATTGTTGAAGCATCAAGTTACTAGAGCATTTCAACTATTTGCATTTTAATGCCCATGAGATCATCAACATCACGATTTTCCTTAATTATCCCATTCGCACAATTTCCCCTTCTTTTTTATAACTTAAAAACTTTATGGTCTTAATGAAACCACCATCGAAAGTTATTCTTTAATCCTTTCGATCCTTGATCAAACGAAAATTTCATAAAGTATAAAATAAAATAAAACAAAATCCGAAAAAGGACATCGTGTAAAACTTAGATTTGACTTTACAGGATATACTTTTAGACTAAATAGCAAGCTGTGCTGAACACAATCATGTAACGGTCAACAATAACATGATTTCCTCCAACACAAAGAATGAAGTAATAAGTAGCTTAAAGCAGTGGGTTACTTTGTTATTCTTGGCCACCTTATTTTAAAAGAGAACTCTAAGTACTGTATCTCATCTAGCGATGAGATGTTTTCAAATCTCACTTAAGACATTCTATTTTGACCATCTATAGTTGATCATTTAGATGTTTGCATGTAGCTACGTGAAACTACTACTTATAGCAATTCTGCTTTAAGAATTTTTTTTGTTTACTTCATTTCGTTTTAACAGAAACCATTTGCAGACAATTACTCAAATTGGGGCATCAATAAATTTAAAGCATACCACTATCATCTGAAAAGGTACCATTCATGCCAAAACAAGGAACCTAGATTATGAATGAAAAGTTCAAAATCTTTTAAGAAGCTATATTTGAATTCGTTTAGATGAGATATGGATTACTAAAAACTGAGTGATATTAATAAAATGATCAATTGACTGTTCTAGCAAACATCCGATACAAACAACGTCAAATAAATAAGGCATGATAACATTTAATAACTCATAACAATTAAAAAATAATAGGTCAAGACATTATAAAATTTGACTTTAAAAATTTTCTTTATCTGATAGCTTATCAATTGCTCACTCGCAACGTAATTCATGATAGAGACTAGTGATCATAATGATAATACGAAGTTGTACTAAAACATGAAACTTTGCTGTTTTGTTAAGAATTGTAATTTTTTTTATAAAAGTCGTTCAGATTGTGCAGTCTCTTAGCATAAAATTCAAGAAAGAATTACGCTAGGGATTTGGTCTAGGCGTTGTTTACGTAATGTTTTTAACGCCACGCTCAAAAGTGATGACGTTTTAAACTCATGCTTTCCACTTGACAGCAAATAGTCCTGTCATATGCTTTCTTGACAGCATACTATATTCTGATCGGCCAAATTTGGAGAAGGCCGTAATTTACTGATCTACGGCTTTATATATAACGCTGGTCAAGAAAGAATCGGGTGTTACGGAGTAAGATCCTTTACAAAACCGACATTTAAATTTTACAAAATTAACAATAAAGATTATGATAGACAATGTTTCTTTAAAGTTTTTGTGACCTTCACAGAGAATTTCTAGTGAGGATAACTAACCTATCTAAATAGCTTTCGATGTATGAGCCTTCGATGTATGGACCTAGTATATTAAATCACGACAAACATAAATTGCATTCAAACCCCCTCCCCCTAAATATTATTCGATGTATGATTCGTTAGAATTTTTGCCACTCATAACATACTGCAACGTGTTCATGGAAGCTTTGGCACTAATTAAATAAGTGAAACAACTTAAAATAATAACAATATATGACAAAATGTTGAAAAACAAAATAGGGTATGTACAGTATCAAACAGCATGTATCACACAGCAGTGGTTACAAATTGAAAGTACTTTTATTATAGCGCTGGTTGGTTGGAAATTCCTAAAGAACGTTTTAAGCTAAAAGATGTTTTTATTTTGAAAATGAGTCATATAAAAATTTCTATCTTATATTGTCTACAATTATCTTAACATCTTTCAAAACTTAGTTCTAATATCTGAACGCTGTCAGTGCAACCTGGTGCAAAATCAATCAATAAGTGATATTTTCTGCTTAGCAACCGACAATTTCCTCAATTACTTTCTTTATCCAACTGTCAGCAGGAGAGTGTGTTTGTTCATTTTACAGAATGCAACAAATAGAGTTTACTTGGACTGATAAAGTTAATCATATTTATTTTGACATCATTAGTAAATAAAAATGACCTTAGACTTATGTACATTAATGATTCTTCTTAAATATATGTACATGAATGAGTATTCTAATGTCAAGAATCATCTTGGTAATTTTTTAAATACAATACATGTGTTAAACATACAAATAATAATTATCAGTTTCTTCTCTTTTACTTATGAGACCAAACAATTCTCAGAAATGGTGACTAGTCTATTGACCATTCAACTTTCAATTATTTTTGGAAGCTGCTCTAACTTCTAATTACAAAAATGAATTAGTATGACCAGTGGTTTTTATACCTAATCTTTTGCCAAGCCCATTCAAATAATGAAAAATGTAAAATGCTCTGAATCCACTTATTGACTTTTATCGAAAAACTTTAAGAGAGAATGAAGTAATAAAGAACATTAAAAATTAGAGTTTAATTCATGACACGACAAACTCTTGAGAATGCTCTGTGGCTGTGCCATAATGCGATTAGTATAATAAAAGAGCATATCAATACAAATTGTGTTAGAGGTAACAATTATGGCAGTCTAAACCTAACATACAAATCCGAAACGAAACCATCAAACACAACAAACATGGGCTTCTGTAGAGCGTATGAAAACGCACCTTAAATCCAATCTTAAACCTCATAGATTGCATTTCAGGGCATATAAATTGCTCAGGTACTATTGCCCTGCATTTTTTGACCATAAAAATTACGTTTGAGACCAAAAACTGACATTAAAGGCTATTAAGGGTTTCTATTCTCACTTTCACCACACTAGCGTATAATGATTTGGCGAAGGAGGCTTTCTTTCAACATGGCGGCTAAGATGCGCGGAGCGACATGTGCGAGCACAAAAACTTCAAAGGCTCCGATGCGAGTGAGACATCTGCTTACCATCTATTCTGCTTACGATCTGACCAATCAAAATCAACCAACAATTTTTAAATTTTATATAAAGAAACCAAGCGGAAAAAACAAAGTATAAAGGGAATAGTAAGACCATTTCACTCTGAGCTCAATGCTGTATACTTCATAAGAACGCTGGCAGCGTTAGAGGATGCTCAGAAAATGAAATTGACATACAATTTTCTTCAATCAAAATAATTTCGGTGAAGCGGGCCTGGTGTTTGTTCCTTTTTTTTGTACTAAGTACACAAACATTTTGTATACTAACGCCAAATGAAACATAGAATACTGCAAGTAAATGAAACAAATGATATACAATAAGATTTGAATGAGAGCAACATTGGGCCAATAGTGTGTATACCCAAAGATCTTTGTATAAAATAACAACAATGAAACGCATGCGCATGCTGGTTCTTTAGCTGAGTTTCATTAGCCTGTACAAATCGATCTGAGTTCAGCCAATTAATTCAATCTTAGAATTTGCAAAACAATCATGAATAGAAAGAACGTTGTATATATACCAAAAAAATGGAAGAAGATAAAGAGATATAATGTGTTTGGCCAAACGCTCCAAACAAAAATAACGGACAGTTACAACGAAAACATCCAAGTATTACTTATTTTGATTTAGAATTTTACAGAGTCGTTCAATTTGTTCATTGTACTTTGCAGTACTTCCATTTAATGATTTTTACGATAAATATTCAAAATAGCATTGTAACTTTGAGTTGAGCCAATTTTTACCCATAGCAATTTTGGCTAACCGTAAGTAACATTAGGTCATTACGGCGCCGTTTGAACTAGGTCTTTCTATGGCTCTTCTCTTAATAGTCTGTTGTCGGCGCTTTTATCCCGTGGAAAACAAATTTCACGAGATAACACAAATCACTATGACACCGCCACTGGCATGTTTCAATTAGTCAAATCTGATACGTCACTTATTTGTGCTAGATTAGAATTGAATTAACGGATACCTTGACACGTATATCGATGTAATTGGCTAAGGACAGTATTTAGGGGAGGAGCTTTACTGGTCTTAACGTTATTGTGTTAAATGAACAGTTTGTATCAGATAAATCTCTTTACTCGCAGTTTACTAGGACATACAGGTGCAAACGAAAGGTGGCGTATTTTTGACCAAAACGATGTCTTCATCTAAGAATTCTAAGGTGCGTAATGCTTCTGTCTATACAATTGAGTATTTGGCACTGTTGTTTATTTGTCAGTGACTTTTTTTAAAAAACGTACAACTTTTTACATTCATGTTGTAATTATCTAACGGATAACGGTCAGCTATCCAGATGGACTAAACTGTTGAGGGTCAAAAATAATGATCGAAGATTTATAATACTCAACCCATTTCTGCTTTAACTAAAAAACCAGAATTTACTACAGCGTCTTTAGTGAAGGATCGAGTGCTGCAATATGTCTGGTTAGAGTCACTATAGTCCTTGAAGCATTTATATACTTCTTCAATGCTATATTCTTGTACTGTACTTTCAACCTTCTACTCAAATGAGTACCATTATTTGTTTCAGTCTGGCTCCAATGTTTTATAGACGTTAGTATGTGTGCATAGTTATAGCAAAGCATTTCGTTAGTGAACAGAAAATATAAAAGCATCTCGGTTGTTTCTTCATGTTTCGATGAAACATTTTTTCCATTAAATTGATAGATGAAATGGTTTTAAAGCTGAAGGTGTGATCTTATAGTGTCTATATAATAGTACTCAATGTGGACAGAAGCTCCATTAGAGCAGTGTAGTATCTTATCTATAGCAAGTTCATTTACACGGTAGCTCTCAAAAGTAAGTGTCTTCTAAAGTTTTGGTGCATGTTTAGAATCAACATTATGCAACCAACCCATGAAGCGTTACAATACATCAGCAATGCTTTATTCTTGTAATGTACATCAAATTTTTAATCAAATGCATACTATTTGATTCTTCCCAGCTCCAATGTCTTCATACATGTTAGTGTGTGTGAAAAGTTAGCGATGCATTTCAGAATTGAACATGTAGAAGAAATTAAATAATCACGGTTCACTCTGAGTTGATAGATATAATCTACAAGTGTATAGGTCTCAGAGTCTTTGCAAGAATTTTAATGTGGTTTGATAAGACTAATCTGAACGGGGTAGTGTGAAATTTAGCAAGTTCATTTAAATTATAAGCGCACAATTAATCAATATGTTGACAGGTAGAGTCAACAGGTAGCTGTCAACATATTCAAAGAGCGTCGTTTGGAATTTTATTGTATATTCCTCGAAAACAAGCCAACAAATTTAGTATGAAATGTAAACTTGTGTGTCTCGTTTATTATAAGGCATTTGTTTCAAGACAAATAAATAGCAACAATGCAATTGCAATTCTTGATCTTCAGTGCATGACGTTTGACGGGAAACATTCATTTTGCACCAAACGCGCATATATTCCTCAATAATATTAAAGCCAATTATATCTGCTGCTGTGAACTCAAAAAGTTTGAAAGAGCTTAGTACACTTTTTGGGTTAGAAGGAGAATAAGTTAGAGAGCGAATGGAATGAAAAAGGCATTATGATATAAAGAGCAAGTTTGGCAAGTCTGTTTAAATGTTAGTATAGGACAAACATTTACGGACAAAATGTGGTGTATTTTTGATCTAAACGATGTCTTCATCTAAGAATTTTGGGGTACGAATGCATCTGTCTATTGAAATTGAGTGTATGGCACACTTGTTTGTATGCAGCTGTTAACATTCATATTCTAATTATCCAATCAAATATTCAACGTTAAGCCATCCAGTTGGACTAAACTGTTGGAGGTTCAGAAATAATGGTGAAGGATTTATAATACTCAACACAGTTTGTTTTAGCTAATTTAATAAAATAGAATTTACTACAGCGTCTTTACTGTAGGAATAAGTGCTGAAATATGTGTGGATAGAGTCACTTTTATCCCTGAAGCATTTAAATACTTCTTCAGTGCTATATTCTTGTACTGTACTTTCAACCTTCTACACAAATGTGTATCATTATTTGTTTCAGTCTGCCTCCAATGTTTTATAGACGTTTGTATGTGTGCATAGTTAGCGAAGCATTTCGGTAACGAACAGAAGAGATGAAAGAATCTCGGCTCACTATACATTTTTCGATAAAACATTGCTACCAGTGAAACGATACATAAAATGGTCTTAAAGTTGAATGGGTGATCTTAGTGTCTCTATATAATAATACTGAATGTGGTAAAAACCCTTATTTGAGCTGTGTAGTTTCTTATCTGTAGAAAGTTCATTTACAATATGACATAATGGGAGAATAGACAGGTAGCTCACAAAAATGAGTGTCTTCTAGAGTTATAGAGCATGTTTAGAATCAACATCAACCAATCCCCGAAGCATTAAAATACATCAGCAATGCTATATTGCTATACTGTACTTTTAATTTTATAATCTAATGCATATTATTTGATT